ATTGCATTTAAAAATAGTTTCCTCCTCATGTCCCAGATTTAACGGAGACCTCAGATATATTGAGGTCTCATTAAAAAGCCTTTATTACCTTCACGAGCCACGGTACATTACCTTATCTAGTATCAAACGCTGAAAATACTACAGATCTCGGAATCCATCTGACCTGACATAAGAACTAAGATTATTCCAGGGACTTCATAGGACAGGGTCTAACCTCGGTGCCTTTCTAAAGCATTTGTGGGCTTGTATTTTTCCTAAGAAAATTCCACCAGCACAAGCCGAAAAAGATGGTACGTACCAACAGCCAACTACCTGCCTTCTTGTTCACTTATGCATTTAACAAATTCAAGGATTCGTAACAGTTTCCCATCAGTAATTCCTGCATCACACCTTTTTTAGGCAACCTGGTTATAGGTTAGTAACACTTGGGGATACTACAGCTATCATCTCAATAACCTCATTATGGACATTCATACTTGCAGATCCTAAAAGCTACCGTTCAGAGGTGCACCGGGGTGGGAAAGGCTGATTTCCACAACTCTTGGGCACCTCCAGCCATGATCTACTCCCAAATGAATCCCTGCAGACATTCACTGTAGGATGTGACCAGGTGGCAGGATGATCACCTGTATTTTTTTGTTCAGGGCACTATGGAAAAAACCTCACAGTAAATAAACCTACCACAGCTTTAGGGACTCACATTTTGAAAGCTTCCGGAGCTGAAAAAAGCGGCAGACACTGCAGAAAAACCGACCTTTTCAGAAACACATATATATACACACACGCACAAAAGAAATCCTATTTCTAGCTTTGGAGTGAGTATATTCACCTTATCTCCAGTGCCTGTCAGGTTAATGCAGCTTCAGGTGGTATCTTTCTGTGACAGCACAATTTCAACAGGGTGCATAAATAAAGATTTTTACATTTATCTCAGTATTTTAATCCTACTTCCCCACAAAATTTAGACAAATGGAAGAAAAAGGCAACAGGGATAGAGTGTGCGTGCGTGTCTGTAAGCACACCAGCCTGCTGGGGGGAGAGGCGGTTAGCACACTGCTTTTAAAACATTGCAACATACTGAACACTCATAAAGAGGTGCTGAGAGAAGTCAGATGGTCAATAACATAAGGTAAACGTAATATTAAGTACAAATATCAATTTATGCTAAAGTTAATGACAGGCTGGGGACAGCTGTTTTGTAGGCTCATATGATAAATATTATATAAAGGCTCTCTTTCACAACTTCATTTCTTGTAACATAGAAATAGAGCACTCTTCAGGACCTTACAAAGAGAAGATACTCCTTTCCCTTAAAAAAACATTACTATCTCAGAGAAATGTTAGAAAATCCATATACTGCAATATTACTTGGCTCAAATACGGCTTTTCATCCCTAGAACTCGGAAGTGTTCTACAAAGAAAGTCAACATCATCAACTGCATTTTCCAAACTGGAGCAGAGAAAGAAAAAAACGGCATGTGTGAAGGTTACCCAGCAGGCCAGCAGCGCAGTGGGAATAGCAGGCTGAGACAGTGAGAAAAACGGTATATCCAATATGACCAAACCCTAAAAATACAGAAGATGGCGGGGGATACAAAATACAGCAGTCCTTGAGGACTACTCAGGCAGCTGTCTTCTTATCTAACTCCTGTAAAGTCTGTCTATCTAGTGTTGCATCTCATTCAGCCTGGTTCTCAAAATCTATAGCACAGGATTTCATAGCTACTATGAAGTTTCAAGAACCACCAGAAGTACCCAAACAAACCAGGTCTCCAATGCAAAATCACTTGCCTTTCTGCTAAACCACAAACAAGAAACAAGCGGTTTTAAAAAGCAGGTGAAAGTACAAGTAATAAATGCAAAAAAGATGATAAAAGTAATAGCGAACAAAGGACTAAAGCTACTCAGGTGCCCAGAATAAACTGGCAATGACAGAAATATTAAAAATAGTTTCTGCCCTACCTTATATTTACAGTATATGAGGACATTCAACCTCCATATATTTAGAAAGACCTTTAGTTTATTTCTTGTTAAGAAAAAGCTCTGGAAACAAAGCACTTATATAAATTAATAATAAGCACTTTGAAACACATTGTGGATAAAAGGGGGGAGGGAGAGTAGGGACGACTTGTATATGTTCATCTAACTGTGAATGCATAAATCGCCTTTTCCCAAAGTATAAAAACATACAGACAGGCAAAGTTCAAGAGACAAATGAATAAGCATCACCGGTCTGCCGACTGTGTCAGAATTTCCCAAGCTCTCCACAGCGATGCTACTCTCAGCATTTGCTCACCTGGCAGAACGCGAAATTCATCTAAAATGACAAAGCCTTGCACCCACTTGGGTCTCCAGCTGTCTGCCACCACAAGCAACGGAGAGTAGAAAACAACAACTTCTCCAAGCCCCTGCAGCCTCCATTCCCCAGAGGCTGAAATAGCAAGCAACAACAAAACCTGAAGTCTGCAACTTAAACAACTACTAACCGAAAATTAAATGTATTGTGCCACTATGAGAAACTCGCATACCATGTAAGGAGCATGCTCGGAGAAAAGGCTAAACCAGAGGCTGCTAAAAATGCAAAATGAAGGAAAAGAGCAAGGAAAAAAAATCTCAAGGCTTAAAACGATCAGGAAAAAGACAGATTATAGTAGATGCACTGGTTAAACAGAGAATAGAAAGTGACAGTGTTGAACGCTGTCCTGTAAGTATTTATATCTTGTAAATATTACCTTCTGACAGAGGTTGAAAGTGGAAATTTGATTCACTCAACACAGTAAACACGAGCAAGTGAGGTTTTTCTACCCAGCTACAATGTATTCAGAGGACCATGAGGTCAAAACAATGCTGTAAGCACAAATCCAAGCCATTATAAATACAGGTTCAGTAACTTTACACGTCGCCCTGTGCTTCATCATACCACATCATTGTACAGCAAATCTTAGATGTGAATTTTCTTGTTTATCATCCTCTAAATCTCTTTTTTATAGCCACCTGGACTGTTCGGTTTTTAGATCGCATAGAGCTGTGCAAGAGGACGTGTTCTAAAAAGTGAATTAATAATTAGCACAGCGAGAGGACCATTATGCATATGTGTAGGTTGCAGTATAGAGCTGAACACTGAACAATATCCATGAGCTCAACAGCCTTGATGAGAACGGGGAAAGTACCCAGCCAGAACAGGTGAACCTTTCCTTCATTGTAAATCAACAATGGAAAAAAACAATAACAAATGAGGTATGCCAGCTAGCTTGTGTTACAGGTGGAGACACCGAATTACAGCCTCACATTCCGGAGGCACGCCTTGAGGTTACAGAGAGCGCGGTGTCAAACAGTGATTTACACCAGACTCCTGGCTCTAGGGTGTTAGGAAGCGCCGTGCGCTGAGGCTGGGAGCACGCGCTGCCGGCTGAGTAACGCTGATTAGAACAGACAGCCCTCTCAAACAGGCGGCACCAGTGTGAACTGCTGGCCGAGGCAGGGAGAAGGAAAAAATAACCGCATATGGGGAAAAAAACATACTTAGGAAGTGACAATTGCAAAAAGTCAAAATTAAGAGCGGATAAGCAAGGAGTGAAGCAGAGTGACAAGCACAGAAAATACCAGCAGACAAAAACGCTGGTGAAGCCTATGTTTTGGGTTGGGTTTTTTGGCTTGAAAATAAAGTTTGGAACAAAATATTATCGTTGTATTATATGGGATTTGATGATGCTTTTAAAAGAGTAAAACATAGTCATTATCATTGTTCCCCTGTTTAAAATTAAAATAATTACCTGGCTCGTAGGGAGTTTATTACCTACACATTTTCTGTGTAAAGAACAGCTAATCCAAAACCTATTTCACATGACCCAGCCAGATACCAACGGTGCTTTAAACTTCAAATAATCCACCGGGATGAATACCCCTCAGCCCTATACATCAGATGAATCTGACTGCCCTGCAGTACAGCTAAATCTGGCCCATCTCTCATGCTGCTGCTGCACCGCTGGCAGTCCAGGAGCAGAGAACATACGGCTTTTCCCGGCTGAAGCCCTGCCTCTGCCACACGATCCAAGGAGAGGGAAAAATTGTCACTGGTGCCACATCACAGCAAGTAATCTTAGCCATGCTGCTGGACTGCCCGCCCCTCGAGAGCACCACGGCTGCCCTGGAATATTCAGACCTTCCCCCCACCCGAGGTCTGTCGCGGAAGGCAATTTCCTCTTCAGCTTAGTATGCTAATGAGGCAATTTCAAAAATCTGAAAATAACAAGCAAGATACAACTTCCAGACACTCCTATACTGAAACAAGGCAGGTCAAGCTTCTGTGAGGTAACATAACTTCACAAAACCACCTAATCAGATTGCCCTACTTGGCTGCTAATAAAATAATGTCTGACCTTCCAAACTCAGCAAATGCTAGAGGGAGTCAGGAAAGTGGAACTGCAGGTACTTTACTCACTCATTTAAAAAGAAAACAAATATATCAAGGTAATACAGTTGTCTGTGGCCCACTGCTCACTTGTGGTGCCTTCTGTAAGCATGAGAACAGCACCTTTGCGGTTGCTTTTCTGCAATTCTGTTCCCTCTGATGGTAGGTCAGCTTTCAGGCTGAGGTTTTATTTCTGTAGACTTACCCAGCATTTTGCTAAAATCTTATTCTTCCACAATGCTGCGTGCTTCAAAGAGCATGTTTTTACAAGAAGTTCCCTTCATGCTCAAATGTCTTGCTGAAAAAGAGGTTAATGCAGACTGAAAATCACTGTGACATTATGGACCTTTTAATTGGTTACTAGACCTGCTTTGGGGCACATATTAATAGGGCAGAAGCGTTATGCATGCTCCTTCTCTCTCTCCTTGACAAAGTGCCAGAGGAAGGAAAGTATTTTGTTGAAAGTACTATGCAATCCATTTAAAAATCTTAAACTCAGGGAATATTAACCAATGCGTAACTAGAATACAAGAGTAGATTGTTCAGAACCGAAAATAATGCATATAGAAAACGCAACAAGGTGTTTTACCATGGCGCTGAGAGTCTCCTCCCAATCTGGCCTCTCTCTGGGATGGATGCTTCTCTGAAGTTCTGGCACAAAGTCATCTTCTTCCGTATGTACAGAGGACTTCATCATTCTGGAAAGGAGGACAGAGAGGTTTGATACTCCGTGACAATTTCTAGGTAATCTTACATACCGTCTGTTATGGTGCTCAGTTATGTGGCTCATATGACAATATAAATGCTTTTATAAATCCAGAAATCTTACAGACTTCTAAGTTTCTCTTACTTCCTCATGATACAAAAGCAGGACGAGAGTGTAAATCTGGTGGAGAGAAATCTGCACCTCCTAACCAATCAATGGATAATGTTGTATAATCACTGCACAATTTGCAAGTCTTAAACCACAGAAAAATACGGAGGAGTAAGTTTCAGTTCATTTCAAAAAATTGCTTACATTGCCCAGGCAAACAACATTAGCCTTATCAGAATAAATACACACGTTTGATTCCTGAGTTGTCACTGCACGTTTTGCCTAAAACAGAGACAGCAGTTTCTGTATCTTAGCCTGGATTCACGTCCCAAGGCCTGAGCCATCAGCTCTCACAGTTCTTACTGATCCCATCTGAAGGGTGAGCACCTTCAACCGCCCCAACTCTGCCGGGCTGCGCCTAAACCGGTCTCATTTTATCACGGTAAACTTTTCTTCAGCTAAGGAGCCGTCTTTCAAATACCCCATGAAGTATGTTTCAAGGCTGCACAGAGATCAGAGGCTCAAAATCAAAATTTAAGGAGTATTCATAAAAGCTTCTCAGCCTGTCCTTATGGCAGTTCTGCTGTTACAGCCAGAGAGAACCAATATACATTGCACTTGCAGGCTGTATAAATGTGCAGACCTGAAGTACCAAAGGCCAGTTGAAGGTCTGGCATCATCCATTCTGGTTTCATTAAACTTGAGATTCAGGCAGGCTTTTATTTTATTAATAGATCACCATTGATTTACTTAGGGTAACCATTTTGATAATCAACACTGCATACAGCAGGGCTGGTTTCGCTAAATGTTAACTGTGCTGATTTATTGTATCGTTTGACTAGAACAAGCACGGTGAGAGCCATTTAAGAAAACTCCTTTGCTTCAGATCAAGACCTGAAGTTCTGAAACCCCTACATGCTGTTTGCCACGACAACGTAAGTGGCTGGGCCAAAGCATTTAACTCTCCTTCGTACTCTACATGAGGGTTAAGAATGAAGTAATTAACACTCACAGTAATAGCATGGCTGGGTTACAAAATTATATCCCATATAATTTTATACCTAGCTTGGTGATCACATTTCTGCTCTAATAAAAAACACATCCCAGAGAATATGGGCCTCAAAACCAAAAGTCGTAATGCCTGAGGCTAATGCTGCTAAACGGTTCCATGTGCCATTCCCACCGTAAACATCACCAATGGAAAGTAGGCTGTCCCGAATGAGGCAAGAAAAAATACACCTGCATGGTGAAAGCTGTGTATGTCTGAAAAAAGTTTGCATGAAAATACCATGATTTAGAACAGAGAGGTGCAATGCCAGCTCGGATGGAAGACTCGCACCTTTGCAACTTATGTGTTCAAAAGAATTTGATTTTTGTAAACCTGAAAATTTGATGCTCAGAGCGGCAGCTCTTTCATTTCTCCTTTGCATATCAAGAGTGAGGAGGTTTGGCCTGTTTCTCACAACGCCAGCTCCTGCACACGAGAAGTTTCCCACTTACTTTAACTGAAAGTTGAGACCTGGTGGTTGCAGAGAAAACCAGATTGTGCAACTCAAAAACAAGAGATAAACTAAAAACAAACAAACAAACAAACAAAAAACCCAACAAAACAAAACAAAAAGTATTTTTTAAAATCAACCTCATGACTCTGAAAGAGGCACAATAAAGCTTTCCTCGGGATTTCTAGATGTTTGGGTCTGGCAATACTGCCAGGTTGTACAAAAAGATTCTAAACAAATCATCCCACGGCAGCTTTAGTCTAATGCCATCACACAGCATTGGACGGCATTTAGTCTAATGCCATCAGAGGATGGAATGAAAGGAAGGGTAACCGGATCAAGACCCACCTTTCTACACCACGGTTAAAACAAACAGCTTATCAAAACGCACGCTTTCTCAGTTTGACAATGAGATTGAATTTACATCTTTATCAGCGCTCTGGATTACAAATGAATTCACTACACAACTCAGGCTTATGGCAATTCCTTCTGGATTTCTCATCAGAAACCTGGATTCCTTTTGAGAAGCAAATTTGCTGAATGTCTAAAATGTTGCCAGTAAGAGAGGGCTGCCCACAACTCGCCCTGCCGTTAGGTCAGTAACAAGATTTGACTATGCTCTCTTCGAAACGACTGACCTTCATTCACAATTCACGGGCCATTTCGGTTCAATGTAAGGCAGGCATTACTTTCTAGAAAATTTACCACACAGAACCTACGAAACAGGAGAGGGCAGAGATCGGTAATTAAGATTATAAAATAGATGTACACAAACACGCTATAGGTATTATACAAACTCTATGCTTAGCCTGGTCACAGTGAACATTATTTCAGTTACTCCTGGGAAGACGCTTCAAATACCAGTGTTGCCTGTGGCGGGTAAGACTTGAGTGCAGAGGAGAACATGTTCTGTTTTAAAATAACCTTGGGAGTCAGGCCCATGTTCTGGGTCTCTACCCTCAGAGTGGACAAACATGGAAGTCACAGTACCCAGTCCTTTTTACTAGACTCCAATCTATTTACTCACATTATTTGTTTAACCTGATTATGCCTATAAAACTCCATGATAAACTCTTCCCAAACCCTTCCCACTGAGATTCTGAAACACAGTCCTGTTATTCTTCCTATGGAAGGTGTTCCGGACTTCCACTGGAAATAAGAAAAGCTCTGCGTGTACAATTGCGTATTTAAAACAGTCAATTATTTGAGCGTTTGCTAGACTTGTTTAATGGAATATCCTACTACTGATGGAAATTAAATACTTCATCACAATACCACAAAAATATTGGAAATGATACTGAAGATTTTCTCTCTAACACAGTTATAAACACTTGATAACCATCTGTGAACCCTTATTAATTTTTTATAGTAACTATTTAATTCCATGCCATCTGAGACGAGACCAAGGAAGGCTGAAGACGCTACAGGTAATATTAATCCCTTATATATTCAGTCAAGTGGCTTTTTCCTCCCCGCCCCTGATCTGGGTGAAGGAAAATGACCTTGTGAATTAGCAGCACCAAAACACGGGCAGGAGCAGGGCCAGAAAGGGGGAAGGAGAGGAAGAAAAGCAGCTACTCGAGACACTCCTGTTGTTACGCTCTTTCAACAGACTTCACAGGAACTCTGCGTTCTCAAGGATGACACGGAGAACGAAACCGAAGCTCAGGGTCCCTGGGAAAGCCGTCATGAAAAGACCCACAGGACTGGCATCCGTCTGCAACACCGCTTCTAAGCATTATTTCTTCATACATCCTCAACTCACCTTCTGGACTTTCTGCCGCGATTCGTTTTCAAAGATGCAGCCTTGTATTTTGTTGGGAGCCCCATTATAAGCCCCCAAATGAAAAACCGATGACAGTGTTAACTGGGAAAGAGCCACGCTGGTTCCAGTCACTGAAAGGATCATCACAAATGTCCTCTGGGCACGTAAAACCTTAGAGCCACACAGCTGGGGGAAGGAGCTTTCCTAACAGTCAGGCGCTGTGATTTTCCCTGGCTTCACCCCAAGACAAGCTTGCAATATTATATATATGTATAATCATATACACGCATTTTTATATGCATGCGTATTATGTATATTTGACATTATTTTAATTTATAGAGCAAATAAATAGCACAACATACATATGTCTGATTCACCACACATGTCAAGCTGTAACAAGACTAATTATCTTGTTTCTGCCAAGGACTCTCTTTCACAGGAGGGGAAAATACCTAGAGTCCCACTAGCACTTACACAAAACACTGACGCATATATTTTGTAAACATTAAAGCCCAAACAAATTGAAGAAGCTGCTCTGTTCTAGAAGGCCTACATTTGGCCATTTCATGGGAGTTGTAAATGACTGAAAATTCACTGCAAAATTTAATGCTAGCCGTAAGAACAGAAATACAATTTTATTTAAAATGCCCCTTCTTCAACTGTTTAGCAGCTCTGAATGCCTTCAAATGAAATCTGACACCTTTATATTAAAGGTTCCGGCTGTATAGAGGCCATTAAGCAATCTCTCTTCAGATGAATGAATCCTTCTTCATTGTAAATTGAGAATCAAATGTACTGGAACAAACATTGACAGGACATATCACAAAAGGCACAGCCCCCATTCACACCCATTCTTTAAAGTTCTCTGCCAGGTCAAGTTGATTAATTTCAAGGCAGAGCTTGTACATCTCTACGTGATACAACTGTATCAAGAAAACAGCTAATGTCCTTTTCCATGTTCTCGCATCTCGTTGGCTGGTCCCGTCGTTTATGGTGGGACCATATCTGCTTATCAGGAATTAAAACATGTCGGTGCTGTTCTCCTGACTGGGCTCCCCCGTGGTCCTGCCTCACCGAGCACTGAGTCCTGCCCGCACACACTGAGGAGCGTCCTGCAACCCCTCACAAGGCGGAAAGTACCCGGAGCAGATAAGCACGGGTGCTTTATAGGATGAGTAAATTAATATTCAGCTTGATGTCCGCAATCTCCACTGCTACTTTGTGTTTATAATATTGTAATTATTAAATACTACTTCCACTAGACAGTAACTTTCCCTGTGGGTTTGAAGGAGTCCCGCATCCACAAACATGAAGTGTTTCACACTTCTGTTTGCGCAAGAGAAAGAATCATAAAAAGTGGGTTTGTGGAAAGAGATCCTTAAACTAAACAGGGGAGGAGAAAGGACAGAAACTTTTAAAATATTGTGGGATTCCTACAAGCATGTTTGTTCCCCTTATTTACATCCTTTGACACATACCATGTCCCACTGGTAGACCACAGCGGCAGGAATAACACAATTGTCATGGACTTTGATGTCATTTAGATGCTGATGACACGCAGATTAATAGCTCTCCTCTGGGAGGACATGAGGGTGTTGACAAATTACTTTCAGAGGTGCC